TCACAAAGGTTGCCTAAGCTGGGTGCAATGGCACTCACCTGGAATCCAGGCAACTCAGGAGGCTGAGGCAGGAGGATTGCAAGTTTGAGACCAGGCTGGGCATCCTAAGGAGACCCTGCCTCAAAATAGAATTTGAAAAGACGAAGAATGTAGCTCCGGTGGTAGAGTGGCCCTGGGTTAACCCCCAGGACCTCACAAACACAAGAACAGCACAGACTTGAGCTGGAGGGTCACCCAGTGCTGCCGTTTACATCTGGAATTTCCCTCAAAGGCGCATTTATTGACAGCTTGGTCCCCAGCCCAGGGCACTACTGGGGAGGAGAGGTGCACCCTTTAAGAGGGGTCACCTTGGGTCGCTGTGCGGTGCCCTCAGGGATGTGGGAGCCTAGTCTCTTCCTGTCTTCACTTCTCAGTAGCCCCGAGGAGAGCAGCCTGGCTGCCCACCTGCTCCCACCGTGGGAGGCCAACTGACAGGGACTGGAGCCCCCGGCCACCAAAATAGACCTTTCCTCTTTATAAACTGATCACCTCAGATCTTTATTGATTAGTAACGAAGGCTGACACACATCCAGGCGCAAGGGCAGGCCACAGAGACCTGTCGTGGCATGTCGTGTGCAGAGCAGGACACATCGTTGAGGCCTGTTTGAGAAACACCGTCCTTGCCTGGTCCTCGGGTGGGATTCGTTTTCTCCCCCGAGATCCTCCTGTGGAAATACTTTGTAAAAAGCTCTGCTTTGTATTGTTCGTGGCACAAATAAACTACAGTTATTCCGTTGGGCTGTTTGGACATTTGTTTTTAATTTTTCCTGATTGCAGGAGCAGTGCTACGGTGGGCCTTCCTGTGTCCCTTCCTGTGTCCTGTGTCCCCAGGGGTAAGTTTCCCTGAGGTGCATGTTCAAAACATCCAAGTCTTTCCCCTGGGTTTGCTAGGGGGGACAGATGGCCAGTGTGTCTAAGGGCCAGTGAAGGAAGGGAGTGAGGCAGGAGACGCAGCAGTGAGTGGTGGGCAGGGGCAGCCACGCAGGCCTTGGGGGTCATAGTAAGGGCCTTGGATTTTTTTGGATTGAACTCAGAGGAACTCACCAATGAGCCACATCCCAGCTCTTTTTTGTGTTTTATTTAAAGACAGGGTTTCACTGAGTTGCTTAGCACTTCGCTTTTGCTGAGGCTGGCTTTGAACTTGAGATCCTCCTGTCTTAGCCTCCCCAGTTGCTGGGATTACAGATGTGTGCCACCGTGACCAGCAGGCCTTGGGTTTTATTCAAAGGACAACAGGGAGCCCTGGAAGGTCTTGGAGCTGAGGAATGATGGGTCTGATTTCTGATTCTCCTCTGGTTGTTGAGCAGAAAAGACATTGAGTTAACATGTAAAATCAGGAAGACTTATTAGGAGGTAGAGGAGCACATGGCCTCCTACCAGCCCTGCCTCAGGGCCTTTGCACTCCTTACCTTTTCTATGACCCTGCCTAGAACATTTCTCCCCGAGGTGTATACATGGAGGGCTCCTTCTTCTTCTTCTTTTTTTTTTTTTTGAGGTGGGTACTAGGGATTGAACTCAGGGGCACTCGACCACTGAGCCACATCCCAGCCCTATTTTGTATTTTATTTAGGGACAGGGTCTCACTGAGTTGCTTAGCATCTCACTTTAGTTGAGGCTGGCTTTGAACTTGAGATCCTCCTGCCACAGCCTCCAGAGCTGCAGGGATGACAGGCACCACCGTGCCCAGTGGTGGGCTCTTTCTCATTATTCACATTTGACTCAAAGTCACTTCTCATTTGACCTTTGAAGATATAGGAAATGAAGTAGAGCAGCACCCCTGGCTCCAAACAAGCTCTGGTCATTGTGGGCAGAACACAGAAATAATTAAAATAGAGGGAAAGGGCTGGTGATGTCATTCAGTGGTATAGCACTTGCCTCGTGTGTGAGAGGCAGCAGGTTTGATCCCCAACACCACACACACAAGTCGACCACAGCTTTCGAATACTTTCACAGTGTCACACAGCCACCAGGGCTACAACTTCCAACACTTTTCATCACCCCAAAGGAAACTCAGCACCCCTTAAACAGTCATTCTCCCCCCTAATCCTGAAAAACACACATTTCCTTTCCATTTGCCCTCTCTGGAGATTTGTATAAATGGAACCATCTACTATGTGACCTAGCATGTCACATCCTTTCATGTGGCATGTGGTCCAGCCTCACCCCATGTTGTGATGTGAACCAGTACTTGTGGATTTGAGGTTGGATTGTGCTCCCATTGACATGTTACAGCACTAAGCCCCCGGATCTCAGAAATAGGGCCTTTAAAGATGTACTTAAATTAGAATGAAGTCATTGAAGTGGACCAGAATCCAACATAACTGGTGTCCACCTAGGAAGAGGGAATTTGGACACAGACACACAGGGAGAAGGTGGCCATCTACTAGCTAAGAAAAGAAGTCCTGAGAAGAAACCAACCCTGCCAACACTAGATCTTAGACTCCAGCCCCCAGAATGGAGAGAAAATTAATGTCTGTCATCAGGGAGTAAAGAAGGTGGGGAAAGGGAGGGTCCTGGGGAACCTTGCTGACAGATCAGGCAGTTCTGGGAATTGAACCCAGGGCCTCACGTGTGCAGTCCTCTACTGCTGAGCTACACCCTCAGCCCTAAAATAAATTTCAGAGTCTAAAGTGAACCTTCCTCATCCCATGCCCCTCCTCAGCAGGAAGACCCTGCTATTCTTTTCAATAAGCAATATAAGTCCACACATTTTAATTCCCTTTTTTTCTCCTCTAAAATGTCAGCATAATGGACACCCTGCTAGGAACTTAGTTTTACTTAATTTTGGTGGGTGTATTTCCAGGCGGAAACTTAGAGCTTCTTCAGTTTTCTGCAGTCATTCTTTGGTACCTGTGGGGACTTGGTTCCAGGACTCCTGTGGGTACAAAAACCTGGGGACACTCAAGTCTTGTGTATAAAATGCACAGAACCCATGTACACCCTCGTAGAGGCTTCTGTCATCTCTAGGTGACTTATGGTGCCTAATGCCATGTATGTGCTATGCCAATAGTTGTCCCAGCTTGTTTAGGGGATAATGACAAGAAATGAAATCCAGACATATCTAGTAGAGTGCACCCTCCGTGGTTGGCTGAATCCTTGGATGCAGAACCTGTCGCCGTGGAAGTTGGTGTCTATAGCTGCGTAGGATCGTGGGATCATACCTGAGGAATTGGGAAAGCAGGCACGAGCTGGGTGGCTGAGGGGGTGAGAAGGGGGAGGGGAATGTGGGAAGTCGATGGTGGAAAGACGAGCGCACATTATACAGGGCCTGATGGGCCTGGGGGAGGACTTTGACTTGAGTCAGGAGGGAGATGGGAGCCATGGAAGGTTCTGAACCCAGGAAGATTGAGACCCCACTCAGGTGCTCACTGGCGCCCTCTTTCCGTTAGTGAGGGGAATAGACTGGGAGGGGTGATGGCGGGAACTGGGACACAGGTAGTGAATGTGCCCATCCAGGTGGGAGGTGATGGGAGCCGCATCCAGGTGAGGGGACGAGGTAGGAGTGAGAAGCGGGAGGATCTGGCTGGTTTCTGATACGGACCCTCGTGCTGTGGTGTCAGCCCGGGTTGGGGTGGCACAGGGAGTCCAAAATGTGAAATCAGCCTCTGCCAGAACCGACCTGCAGCTGACTGGATCTACAGGACATGGAAGGACGGGTTCGGGGAGAGGAGGGAGGTTGGATCCAGCCGGGCTGAGTGGGGGCCGCCCGCGCTCCTGCAGGTGGTTCACCCGAGAGGCAGGTGTCCTCCGCGCAGCAGCCGCGCAGTCCCGGAAACCGCCGCCAGAGGGCGAGCGCGCCCCATCGCGGTCGCAGCTCCCGGGGTGGGGACTCGGGAACAGCCAGCCCCGCGGCTTCCCACGGCCCGGACGCCTGGAGCTCCGCACCTTGGTGCAAGATGCGCGCCACCCAGGTGCTAAGACCCGGCCGGGACCTGCAGCCGCCTCGGGATGCCCAAAGCCCGGGACGTGTTTCCAGCAGGTCAACCTCCACCCCCTACCGAGCTGTTCCCAAGCCTCTGGCGGCATCTCGGGCCTTTGCAAAAGTGTCACCTCTTTGGGGAGGACTTCCCTGACCACCCTGGGACAGACGCCCCCGCCTTGAACCCTCTAAAGCACATTTTGTTTTAATGTCTTTATCCTGAAGCTGAAATCATTTGTCCTGTATTGTCTGTTTGAGACACTCTGATGTAAAATGTGAGGCAGGAGGGACCCAGTTTCTGTTTATTCTCTGCGTATCTTCATGGGAAAGAATTATGCCTGGCTTCCAACAAGTACTAAAGGGAAAACAGTAGCCCCAATCATGTTAATTGTCGCTGACCGGGGCTGGGGCTGCAGCTCAGGGGTCGCTGGTCTGGTTAGTTGCACAGGGTCCTGGGTTTGATCTGCAGCACCCTGGTGTGTGTGTTTGGAGGAAGGCACTGGCTCATGATGCTACTGCAAACTGACCTCCGTTTTAAGCTCCTTATCTAAATTGTCTCCTTGAGTCCTTAGAACAAGGTAGGGCCTGTTATCAACACCATATTACAAAAGAGGAAAGTTGAGGCCCAGAGTGGTTCGGGGACTTGCCTGTGGTTGCACAGCCAGGAAGTTGGCATATGGGGGTGGAAACCCAAGAAGCCTGGTTGCAAAGAAAAGTATCCCTGCAGGGCTATCAGGCATGGTGTCCCTCAGCTCCTGTCCCTAGACTTGTACCTCGACCCCCTCGACTTGCCTCTTTTGATCCCACAGCCCACACACCTGCAGGCCCAGCCCTCAGGACCCCCGCAGGCTGCTAGGAACCCCGCAGGTCTGGTTTACTTTCCTCCCTGCTGTGAGTTTGCAGAGGCACTTCCCAGGCTGCCCAGGTGGGGACAAGTGATTAAAAGCAGGTCTGAGGGACCAGACTCCACTCGCTAGACAGCAGGGTCAACTGCCCAGGACCCTGAGCCCCACCCTGGACTGACAGACGGACAGCTAAGCAGATGTCCCGAGGATGGCTGACCACTCTCCTGGGGCTGCTGAGTGTGGCCTGGCTGCCCGCAGGCTCAGGGAGGCCTGGACCCCCAGCTCCCCCGGGGCCGGCCTTTGCCCTTGGCAGCTGGAAGGCCTTCCTGGGCCTGCAGAAACCCTGGAGGCTGGGGACAGATGGGTTGCAGGATGGGCAGGAGGTGGCCACCTCCGTGTCTTTGCCATTGGACCCTAAAGAAGTGACCCAGGAAATGTGTAAGGCTGTGCCCTTCATTCAGGTGAGTGTACGGGGTGGGGGTGGGCCGGTCTCAGCGCCTGCAGGAAGCCCAGGCTATGGCTCCAGGCAGATCTGAGTTCATGACCCGCATCATCCACCTACATGGCTCTGAGTCTCAGTGTTCTCCCGGGTCCATTGGGTACAGGATTGCTGGGCACAGTGACACACACCTGTGATCCTGGTAACTGGGGAGGCTGAGGCAGGAGGATCAAAAGTTCAAGGCCAGCCTCAGCAACTTAGCAAAGCCCTAAGCAACTTAGCGAGATCTTGTCCCAAAATAAAAGTTAAAGAGGACTGGGAATGTGGCTCAGCGGTCAAGCACCCCTGGGCTCAACCCCCAAATGGGGTACTGGCCTCTCATGTGGGAGGGAGGGTGCCTTCACCTGATCTCCTGTCTTTGGGCCACTCCTCCTCCTAAGTCTATGTTCCCATTTAGGGGCCGAGGGTGCCCGTGGACCCCTGGGTCAGGTCATGTTCCTTCTCCCCTTAGAGGCCCCATGGCTCCCACCTCACTCAGAACAAGCAGAGCCAAGCGCACTCCGTGTTTCTCGAGTGAATGAATGAGTCCTAGAATTATCTGCCTCCTATGGGCTATCAGGCAGCTTGAATGAGTGGGCGTGGGGAGCAATCTCATGGCTGTATCCAGCTGGTGCTCCATAAGGGCCTTGGGAATGCATACAGTGTGCTGAATTCACATCCTTCCTTAATCAATGATTTCTGTGTGATTCAGGGTGAGTAGCTTGCCTTCTCTGAACCTCAGTTCCCACCTTTACAGAAGGGAGTCGGGCACAGCGAAGGATGCCAAGTGCTCAAATCCGTGCCCAGCTGTCAATGTCCCAGACTCCTTGGCTTGTCATTTGCCCAGAAAACCCTGAATCCAGGTGGCAGGAGTTGCTTGGCCCTGGAGCCACCTGCCTTGTGCCCAGTCCTGCCTCTGTGGCACCCCAGCCTCAAGGCCGCCCTGTCCAGTGGTGCAAGCTTCACGGAGCAGAAGGGACTCTGGCTTGGAATCTGGCTGCCCCGGAGGGACACAGAGGGGCCCTGAGGGCACGCGGCCTTCTCAGCACTGCAGGACCTTGCCTTGGAGCCTGGGCATCCTCCTCTGGACACGCGGGGAGGAGTTGGGCATCTACCGACTGGGGCCACGGCCAGGACAACACGAGGTTCCTGTCTTCAGGTGGCTTAACCTCTGGGAGGAGGGTGAAAAACAGAACAGTGTCCCAAGATGCACACCAACCAATCGCTTTAGGGACACGCAGGACAGCATTGTCGCAAGGGGAGGGAAGTTCCCTGTGGGGTGCTTTGGAGGGAGGATGAGTTGGAGTCAGCTCCGGGAAGGGTGGACGGAAGGGTGATCTAGGCAGAGGCCAGAGGGCAGAGGGCAGGGAGGGGACAGGGCAGAGTGTGCAGGGACTTCTGGGCCTTGGGGAGGACTTTGCATTTCATTCTAAGGAAGATGAGAAGCCTCTTGTGCTGGGGGAGGGGTGCAGGGTTTAAGCAGAAAATGGCCACGATTTAGTGGTGAGATGATAGAGGGGGCCATAGGAGGAACTAACATTTATTGAGCACCAACTGTGTGCCAGGAAATACACTAAATTTTTTGTTTAATCCTCCTGGCCTCCTTTTTTTTTGGGGGGGGGGGGCTACTGGAAATTTAACCCAGGGCAATTTATCACTGAGCTGCACCCCCTGCCCTTTTTGTTTTCTATTTTGAGGCAGGGTCTTACTAAGTTGCTGAGGCTGACCTCAAACTTGCCATCCTCCTGCCTCAGCCTCCAAGCTGCTGGGATCACAGGAATGCACCACCATGCCTAGTTGGCCTCTTTTATTACTACCTCCTCCCACTGTCCCTCATCTTTGGGGTGATAGCAGCCCTGCTGGTGACCGTCTCCAGTTGTTCTTGTCATTATCTCCTGATTGGTTAAGCTGCTGTATTCCCTGAATGAATCCTCTCTGTTGAAAGACCTAGAGTGGTTTCTTCTTTTCCTAGTTGAACTCCACTGATTTTACAGTTGAGGAAACAGAGGCCCAGAGAGGTTGAGTAACTTGCCCTAGGCCATACAGCCAGGAGATGGCAGAGCCAGGACTGGAACCCAGGCAGCTTTGCTGCATCACCCATACCTCTCAGGGTGGGTGGAAGTGGATGAGCCTCACACTCTGCTGCCCTAACCTGTCACCCTGCCTCTGGTCTCAGGTGCTCTCTCGGCCTGGCTGCACTGCTGTCCGTGTCCGAAATCACCTCTGCTTTGGCCGCTGCTCCTCCCTCTACATCCCGGGCTCAGACCCCACCCCACTTGTCCTCTGCAACAGCTGCGTGCCCACTCGCCAGCACTGGACACCTGTGGTCCTGTGGTGTCGGCCGGGCAGCCCAGCCTCCTCCCCTCGGCGGGTGAAGGTGTCCACCAGGCTGGTGGAGGGCTGTCGGTGTGGACCAAAGCTATGACGCAGCACTGTGACAGACACACAGACACGAATCTCGGAGAGATGGGACGACGACACGGACCTAGATGATGGATTCTGGGTCACGAGACCAGGGAAGCAGGGCTACAGACGGCTCTCCAAAGTCACCCTGCTCCCAAGGACACTAGGCACAGCCCCATGAATGGGGCTGGACCACTAATAGCCACAGCACGCACTTACCGACTGCCCACTGATTGCTAGGCTCTTTGACAAGTGCTCACTCGTGTCCTCCTCAGGAGGTGATCCTCAGAGGCCTACGGAGGCAGGGTCAACTTCATGCCATTTTACAGATTAGGAAACTGAGGCCCTGACTTTGCAAGGCACGCACCCAGCGTCACCGTGCAGTCAGTGGCCAAGCCCGCATTCACATATTTTTTTGTCTTTTGTGGTCCTGGGGATTGAAACCAGGTTGTTGAGACAGGGTCTCACCAAGTTGCTGAGGCTGGCCTTGAACTTGCAATCCTCATGCCTCAGTCGCTGGGATTCCACGCACCACGGCGTCCAGCATGAATTTGATCTTAACCACTGGGCTCAGCTGCCTCTCAGGGAAGGAGCCCAGCACATTCCCGCTGCACTGCGGGAGGACAGGCGGCCCCACCCCACCAGGAGACACAGCTATGATCCTGGCCTGGGGACACAAACGCCTAGGCAGGCAGGCAGCTGCAGCTGCGGGGAACCTGGGTCCCGGGCCAGGGGCAGGCCCCCTCCCAGCTGCCTCTCACCTTGACAGTGGCCATGGCTCCCTGGTGACCGCCCACCCCGAGGCCCACCCACACAGCCACGGCCAGCGTGGTGCTCCGCGGGGCCATAAAGGTCGGCTAGGTCCAGCTGCGTGTGCTTGTTTCTCCACCTCGGGTTCCCGGGACGGGGTGCGGGTATCGGGGTGCTCCCTCTCCAGCTGGGGCCCAGGGTCTACTGCGGGTGAGGGCAGCCTGGCTTTGGGCGGCTGGAACCAGGGCCCTGGCAGATGGGCCTGTCTGGCATAGAGGCAGGGACATGTGGCACTGTCAGTGTTGCCTCCAAATGCCCCCCGGAGCGCAGGCGGGGGAGCCGGCCGGGTCCCCCTCAGCCCTCTTCCTGCCTCAGGAAGGAAGGCCCCAGGTGAGGGAGCAGGCGGCGAGGAAACAGATGGGCCCGCAGGCGTGGGAGCCTGCGACCTCTGACCCCACAGGCCTGCACCAGGGGGTGGGAAAGGGCCAGACAGGCGGCTCTCAAGACCCCGCTCCGAGGCCAGCAGGGAGGCTCACTGGGCCCTGGGGCGGGAGTGCCCCCTCCCCCTCCCTCTAGAGATTGGTGCCAACCCCTGGGCATGTCCAAGTGGGCAGCTCAGTCCTAGCTCCCCCTTGCTGGCGGGCAAGAGGCTTCACCCGCTCAGCTGTGCCCACCCCCTGCCAGCCAGGAGAGCCAGCTGGGGACCTTGGTGCCAGGGGGCCCCCAGAGTCCCTGTCCCCTCCCGGGCAGTGCCAGCCAGCCCCCACCCCATCCCCCAGGCCCAGTAATGGGTGGGTAATGAGTGCTGGGGGAGCGGGGGAGGGGTGGGGATGCAGGTGCCACAGGCGCTGGCACAGGGGCCGCTAATCAGGTTTGCCAACGCCATCTGTCACCGCGCGAGCATCTGGGGCTCAAGGTGACCCTGTCACCCTCAGTTACAATTATGAGTTTGGCATCTGTATTAAAGCCCGCCAGCCGGCCAGGCAGGGGAGGGCTGGGGTGGGTGTGGGGGTACATGGTGAGCCTCATCCCTGGGGTCCCATTCCCAGGGGCTGCGTGGCTGCCAAGGCACGGGCTTCTCTGCTAGGAGGAGTGTGTGTGAGCGTGCACATGTGTATACGCACACACCCATCCCAGCCTCCTCCACTATTCTTCCAATGTGTCTGGGTGCAGGGCTGAGAGTCGTGGGGTTCTGTGTCTCTGGGTGGTGGTGGCTGTGTCTTGGAGTTTGGTGGGACGGCTGGGGCGCAGCCCTGACAGCGCGTGGGTGTGCAGGTGAGCACATCTCAGTGCTGGGAGAGCAGCTGATGGTGCGGTTCTCGGTCTTGGGTGACGTTTGTGTCAGGGTGTGTATGTGTGTGTGTGGTGCATCTGCCAGTCACGAGCTAGGCATCTGAGGGTGTGGCTGTGTGTGCAGGAGCCTTTCAAGTGGTGTGTTCCTCTTTGTGTATGAGAGAGAACGCACACGGGAGAGCTGGGCAGGCCATGGGGCAGCAGGGGCGTGAGCTCACTGCTGGGTTCCTCTCCTGCCCTCCAGCCTTGTTCCCACCGTCACCAGTCCCTGTGCCTGGCTCTAAGCCAGAGGATTCAGAAGAGGGCTCAGGGCTCTGAATTTTGTAGCCTGGTCTTTGGATTCTAGGTTCTGGGTTCTTGGAGCTGGATTCTAATTCTGAGTATTATAATCTACATTTCTGGATTCTGGTTCTGGAGGATGGGTTCTTGATCTGGATTATGGATCTGGATTTTAGATTCTGGGTTCTGCATTCGTAGATTTTTTTTGGGGGGGAAGTACCAGGGATTGAACTCAGGGGCCCTCGACACTGACTGAGCCAAATCCCAGCCCTTTTATGTCTTTTATTTAGAGACAAGGTCTCACTGAATTGCTTAGGGCCTCACTGTTGCTGAGGCTGGCTTTGAACTCGTGATCCTCCTGCCTCAGCCTCCCTCAGTGACCATGAGCAGCTGCATTCTTGGATCTTGATTTTTGATCTTGGTATTGTTGGAATCTAGATCTTTCTTTCCTCTGTTTGTCCATCTGTCTCTCTCTCTACCCTCCTTGGTGCTGGGGATAGAACCCAGGAGCTGGTGCATGCTAGGCAAACAGTATCACTGACCTACATCCCCAAGCCCAGAATCTAGGTGTTTATTCTGCATTCTGAGGTCTGGATACAGTTTCTGAATTCCGAGTCTGGGTTCTCACTTTTGGACTCTGGCCTTCCAGCCTAGGCCTGTCTTCCCCCAGGACTGTGCAACGGGGGCAGCCAGTCATCTCCCTAAGGATGAGTGCAGAGACTACATGTAGCCACCAGGGGCCGCCCTTGGTCCAGATTTGTGACTGGCAGCCCTAGCCCCAGTCCAGTTAGGGAAATTCGCTGGCCTGGCTTGACCCATTCCTTTGAGATTGGGTTGTGCTTCAGCCTTCCTAGTCTCCACTGGGGACTGGCCTCTGTCAGCTCTCCCTGGCTCAAATGTGGAGAACTGAACTCAGCATTTCCAAAGTTCCCCCAAATTGTCCCCAGGATAGGTCACCCACCCAAGTAGTGGGTCAGGTGTGCAGTGGAAGGTGCATGCATGAGTGTCAGTGAGTGTCCAGGTTGAGGTGAGGGTGGAGTGTATGTCTGGGTGCCCAATGGTCCAGGGCAGAGAGCCTGTGTAATGGTGTATGGCCATGTCTGACAGAGACCACATGTGTGACAAAGTCCTCATGTGACAGAGCCACAGTGAGGTGTCACTCTGGTGTGGGGAGCCTATGTCTTTGTCATATGAATGTGTTTGTGTCCTTGACTGTGTTATGCGTCATCTGAATGGATCCATATTGTGACTGTGACCACACATATGAAGCACCACTGTGTTTCCCATGAGGCTGTGAGTCCCTGGGTGAAGGCGCCCTGGAGCGTCAGGAGCAGTGTCCCCGGTAGCTGCGTCACTGTGGATGATGCCTGGGTAGTGGGACACAGGTGTGTGTTCTGAGAGTGTTGACCCAGAGCGCGCAAAGAGGACTGGATAGGTGGGACCGGAGCCCTCCACCTCTCCGCCTCTCAGTGCCTGTGACAGTCCTTGTCTGGGGTCCCGTCCTCTGCCTTGCTCAGCACTGGGCACAGTGAGCTCAGGGGTCTTGGAGAAGGGTCTTGTCCCCATGTTTTCCCAGCCCCACCTCTTCTGTCTGGCTGGGGCTCTCCTCCTCTCCCCTCCCATCTCTGTTTCTTCCTGGTCTGCCACCTCTGTACCTCTTCTCTTTCCCCTCCCAAGTCCTGCTTGTCCCTCTCCATCCCCTCTTGTCCTCGCCGTCCCAACCCTAACAGTTCCTTGGGTTTCCATTTCTCCCACCTTTCCCCTCTCTCCACCTCATCTCCTCGTTTACCTCTGTCTCTCCATGTCTCTCTCTCACCTCTGATGTCCCCCTGCCTCTGCCGGCCCCGGGTGGGTCCAGGACAGCCCGGCCTGGGCGCCGCGATGAACAATGCCCCATTCACGCGGCCCGCCGGCGCCATGGCAACGCGCCCGCCCCGCCCTCCCCGCGCGCGGGCCGCGCGTGCCAAGAGGATGCCATGGTTACGTCAGGCGCGTGCCCGCCGCCGCCCCACATGCCCTTGCAGGGGCCGGGCCAGCAGGGGGCGCCCGACCGCAGCTTCTGCCCAGTGTCAGGAGGGAGCCTTCAGGAAGCCGGCAAAGGCTCCTGCCTCAGTTTCCCCAGCTGTAAAACCTCAGGGGTGGGCAGAGTGAAAGCAGTGTGTGTGTGTGTGTGTGTGTGTGTGTGAGGAGAGAGTGGGGGGGAGAGGTACTCACTCTTTGAGGGCAGCTGTGTATTGGAATTGGGTATTGGTGCAAATTTGTGCGTCCACGATTGCAAGCTTGTGGGCGTTATATGAGAAGCAGTTGAGGAGTTGGTTGTAGCTTGGGGGTGACCGTGCCCGTGTGACTGGGATTGTGTGTGTGTGTGTGTGTGTGTGTATGCTTGTGTGCCTATGTATGACGATGTGTGTCTGTATAATCTGGGTGCAATGGTGTGTATTTTGGGGTCTGTGGTCTTGTGACAGAGTGTTTGCATACCCCCAAGTCTGCATATCTGGTGTGTGTGTGAGTGTGGGTGTGTGGTTTGGGTGTGGTTGTGAGTTCACATGACTGTGTGCATGCCTGTGTTTGCATGCTTGGTGTGTATGCTAAATGGCTATGTGTCGATAATGTGATTGTGAGTTTGTGTGAATGTTGTTTGTGTGTCTGGGGGTAGGTGTTCACAAACATGTGTGTTTATGTGTGTGGATTCCAAGGACT